CACAATTTAATCAAATAGTAAATTTTTTTGTTTGATCAAATAGTAAATAAGTATAGCTTCAATCTAGAGAGCCAAATATTCCCCTAATATAACAGATAGTAATATGAGTTACATATGAAGGGACTACTTCACAATTTTTATATTTCTATATCTGCTTAAATGTAAAATATAAAATAGGAATGCTTAGATCTAGAGAAAATAAGGTTGTGTATATTCCATTATGCTCCAACTAACTTTCATGACTGACTGCCACACCGACCAATCGACCATCCAATCCATATATACCCCTATAAAAGGAATATTGAAGATTTTGGAAAGATCTCATCAATAAATCGAGTGATGAAGTTGAACAAGCGGTAGCGTACGTGGACAAAAGTTTCTAAAATTATTTCACGTACATATACATCTATACATATCCCAAATTTCTAATAAATAGCACACTTTTATTACATTTCCTCCATCTCAGTCGCTTGATTCTTGTACTATATGGCCACTAGTCCAAGAGGGTCGATCGTTTCGTTACAACGTCATAAAATGCTACATTTATGTAGTCCTCTGAAAGAATTATATATATTACAACTAAATGGTCCCTAAACCATAGTTAAGTATTCATACGGATGCTGCCGAAGATCAGAGAATCAGGGAGCCCATGTGGGTAGATAAAGACACAAACAAGCTGAAAGACACATTTGTCTTGTCCGAACATACCATAACATCATTATTCATGAAAATGCCCCCACAAATCTTTGTTGATTTCGGAAGTTACACTGATTTCTTGTTTGCGTTTATCAACATATACGTATGGGCAAACAATAGGCACAATGCCTTGGGGTCACAACGATGAAAAGGGGCCAATTTTTTAAAAAAATATATAATTGACGTTAAAGGAAACTTCGCGGAAGCTGCCTTCATGAGGATACGTCCATGTACTTCTCACATGCATGTGGGAAGATGTATGTTGTTATCGTCCCACCCTTCTTGGATAAAAATATCGACAGTTTTTATTTGTCTGTATCATAAACTTGTTTTTTAATTAAATGGAATCAAAGCTTATACATTATTTAAAGTTCTTTCAGTTTGACATGTTAGGGCATCTATAAATCAATAGCTTGGTCACAGATCATTTGACTAGTTGGTCCCTTGGCGTGTACGGAATAAGACACTTAGCGTTATCATTTAGAAGTAATCATACTCATACCTTCTCACAATGTAAAAAGTATCATATCTTCTCTCCAAGAATCTGCGGCTATAACGGTACTTTAGCAATCAATCAATTATTTGCGGCTACGGCCCACAGCCGTTTTCTACTGGAACGTTTTTAACTAAGTTTTTTCAAATTAAAGTGGGTAGATGATCTATTTACCTATAAAAACTATCATATAGCATCATATCCTCATCGAACTATGACCTCATGCTAGATTTTCACGAATTGAAAATTACAAACCTATTTCTCCATCGAACTATGACCTCATGCTAGATTTCCACGAACTATCATATGTCATAGTTTAATGGGGATCTAATGCTATATGATAGTTCTTGTGGGTAAATAGATCTTCAAAGTAGATGGAAGTATACAATATGGAAAATAAAACCTCATGAACAGAGGAAGAGCACGAAAAGTCAACTTCCAAAACAGCAAAGGAATGGTTATAGAGTGACTAACCACAATAGAACCTCCACATCTAAATAGAAGCAAACGCATGAAGAAGAGTAAATGTATCTCTCATGGTGGCAGTAAATTAGAGCACTCACCCGAAAGAATGATTGGAAGATTAAAATTCGCGGCAGATAAAACAATGTAGTAAGAAGGCAGCGATTATTCAAGAGCCAGAGAGAGGGGGAGTAGCTAATCCCCCAAAAAGAGATCATATTTCTACTTGAATTACAGATTGTTGTTATTATTATTTTCTTTCCTTTGTAGAATTAATTGATTATTACACGGTGGGAATAACATTATTACAGATTACTAGATCCTAATTTTCAAAACTGGTGATTTTAACAATTTTTATTCAACGATTATTTAAACAAAACTATGGGAGAAAAAATATATATACAAAGTAGGGTAACTGAAACAACAAACTAGTCTAATAACTATTTTTTTCTTTTTGTTTTTTGTTTTTACCAAAAGAATTATTTTTTCTTTCTTTGTTAGTGTCTTGCTATATGACCAACCACAAGCGAGAATATATTGTAGTGAATGAGCAAAAAATGACACGGGTCTTGTTCGAAAGGCTCTCGTGATGGGATCCATCATCCATTTCACAGCAAAGTCAAGCGATATTGTCGTGAAGGAAGTGAGAGAAGCGGATTGGCAACCGAACTTCACTGGAAGTAACTACCGCATCATTTGTTACAAGCATGCAATTATAGATTCAATATCATATATTGATGCTGATGGTGCTTGGGATGCTCGTACTGGATTTTGTGGTACAGGGTGTGTTTTCTCTGGCCGCAACAACCGGTTTCCGACGGAACCCATTTCTTCTTCACGCAAGTTTGTTTCCTCGGTGCTAATGGCTGAATGCCTCGCCATCCGTTCGGCAGTGATGTATACAGCCTCGCTGAATATTAAATCCCTGATGATCCTGTCTGACTTCTTTTCTTTGATCAAGTTATTGAAGAGTGGTGGTTCAATACCAGCGTTGTTCGGCATTTTATTTGACATCTATCATTTCAGTGCTTTGTTTGATGTAATTTCCTTTTCGTATGTACCCCGAGTAGGTAATGGGATAACTGATGCTGTGGCAAAATCAGCACTCTCATTGCTAAACTCCCCCAATCATAGAGTGTAAAACCTTTGATATTTATGAAATGAATATATGTTTGCTCAAAAAAAAAAAAAGATTCAATATCATATATTAGATAAAGTAGCCCACGCGTTAAACCGCCGTTGCATTTGGTTGGTTTTACTTATCTTTCATGTTTATACTTATGGCACTATCAATGTTGCAAAAAAAAAAAAAACTTATGGCACTATCACTATGCTTAGCTGACAGTCTTCGTTGAGTTTGTGGCAAAAGCATTACGCAGACCGTACCTTTGGCATGCGCTGACAGTGTAAAAGCATTGGGTCTCGTAATTATTTTTGTAATATGCTTTGAAGTTTGAAAGACCATAATTCTTATAATGCAGTAGAGAGGCCCAATATATTAAATCTACACATTAAAGACCTGAGTTCTTTTAATTTTTTGTTCGGCATTAGGCCTAAAATGTTTTCTTTACCGAACTAGGAATAGTTTTTGTCTGCATTAAACAAACTCAATATGTTTAAATCCTACAATAACTTTTTTTTTCTGGATTAATCTAGGATATATGGATCTTAAATAATTTCTAAGATAAGAGATCTAAACATCTTTTGGTGCCTTTTAAATATACTATATTATATATAAAAAATTAATTAATTATTAATTGATTTGACAAGTAACACATTTCTGTAAAATAAGTTTTAGGCCGATTAAAAAAAAATAGGCCGATTACATTCTACGATTAGTGGCAATCGTTGAATCTCATTATATTTTCTTTTAATAAGATTTTTGTGTATTTTGTTGTCATTCCCTTTTAATCTGACGAATAAATATTTTGTTTTTTTTTTTCGGTTTATTGTCGTTTGTATTTTTGTGTTGTTTAATCATCTCTTTTAATTCTGTATTAGTGTTATAATTTATATCAAAAATGTAAAATTTACTAATGTTATATCTTCTACTATAACATCTTAAATGTATTTTGTATGCAATAAATTCAGTATATTATATTTCACTGTAACTTATTGTTCATCTCCATTAGTAAATATATACGGAGATTATATAATAGTTCAGATGAGCTAATTCTAATATTTCTTTGTTTCCTTGTTTTGTATATACAATCTATCTTACTTAAACAAAAACATTATGTTAAACCTAACTTTTATTTTGAATGTTTTTAAATTAAATATATATTTCTATTTTATAGTTAAATCTACATTATAACTAATATTTTTATACGATTATCCATATTTCTAAACAATATAGTTTTTTATATTATTACTAAAAAATATTTCCCTTCATTTTAAATATATATTAAAATATTTTTTTGTAAATTGTTTTTTACAATTATTACCACTTTTTTTATCTTTATTTTTATTTTTATTTTATCTTTTTATTTTAAAAACATAATATAATGTTAACATATTTTTTTAAAAAAACTTTTTTTTTTGTTTTTTGTAAATATTTTTATTTATTTTTCTATTTTTTATTTTAATAACATATTATAACTTAACAAGATTTTGTTTCTTTTTTTAAAAGATATTAAGTATGAAATAATACCATGTTATTGGTTGGTGAACCTCTAGATTCATTTTAGGAGATATTTTGTTTCTGTTTCTAAAAGATATTAATTATGAAATAACACTATGCTATTGGTTGGTGAACCTCTATGTTCATTATAGGGGATGAACCAAGAAGAAATCATTTAGGAATGTTACTTTTAAAAATACACTTTCCTTAAGTAAAAAAAAAACAAGACATAATCGTGTAATGACAACAAAACACATATAAGATGTTATCCTAACAAAACTACGAAAACACCCTCAATGAAATCAAATACTATCTAGACTTTGACTACCGTCGTTCATATTCCAAAAATTGTAACCATTACATAAATTAATTTTCTTCATGGATTCAGTGACTCACATATTCTCAAGTTCTGCCTTTATATACTAGAGCTTCCATCAACTTTTTCATCATCATCATATCTTCACTTATTCTCTGTTTCCTCCTTCTCTCTAGATTGCTTAGAATGGATTCTCCACCGACCATTCACCCTGCACCTGCGAGATACTCAATTTTTCGTGATGTTAAGTTGTGTGCGGGCGAATTGATCCCATATATTGAATTGATATTAGTTTCGTCGTTTCTATATGGCTGCGCAATTGGTTTGTTTCGATCTCATTGATGATTTTGGTTTAGCATTGAAAGGTCTCTTCCTTTATATGTGATTTGTCTGACTCTGGTTGTGACTCAGTGATGATTACTATGAACGTAATACCAACAAATGTCTGGATTGGACCTAACTCTTCGATCCTTGTTGAACCAAACTCCATCTTTTTCGGAAGCGTTCAGGTTGTTGTCTGGTTACATCTTTTTGTGCTCCTTCACGTGCTGTGCTAATGTTTTGAGACATGTTTTTTTTCTGTTAGGTGGACAAGTTGAATGGTTCTGAATCTGGTCTTCAGCTATTTGGGTTCTATACATCTCCTCGTGTTAATGTAGTGAACTGGTCTGAATCTCGTTTGGTGTCTCTCTCACCTAGGTCTTCCAAGGTAGGTTTGAGATTCCTCATGTGATTGTTGTTGTATATATTGAGAGTAGTAGTTGTATAATTTTTATCAGACAATATATTGAACTGGTTTCATTTCTCTCAGGGATGGCCTTACTATCTGAACGAAAGAGCTTCGTTAAATATTTCATATAACGTGAAACCTGAAGGCTGTTCAGTTCGGCTTGCGGTTGATGAAGGTTGGTTGATATTGTGTTTGTGTTATTGCTTGTCTTTCTCCTATGGTTGCATGTTGGTTTGATATTGTGTCATTAAGGCTGTGGCTGAGTGCAACTTATAAACACAAAGATATATACCATAAACGCAAATTATAAACACAAAGATATACCCTAAAGGCTAAAGCTCCTCTTTAGTGAGGAACATGTAACCAATAAATTTCTTAGCAAAAAAAATATAAAAATATAAAAAAATAAAAATAAATTCCTTAGCAAAATAAAAAAAGAAAAAAAGAAGTTCCTTAGCAAAAGTCTATAACTTTCCTAAACCTATTTCCAAAGCGTAAAGCAAAACCTAACTAAGAAAAAATTTCTTAATTGTGAATGAGTTGTTTGATTAAAAGTGTTGCCTTCTAGGGATGTCAGCTAATTATTTAAATGCTCTCGTTTTCGCAGCAAAGGTCATTAACTGGTTGTTGGAGGAACCTCTATTTGACTTTACCGAGCGCTCATTGAATACTATTCAAGGTTAGTCAACTAGTATATCCAACTTAAGTGAGTTGGTTACACTGTCTATTTATGAGTTAATAAAAATTCTTTTACAGGGAGTGGTATGATTCAAGTGAACATAAGTAATTCTGGAAGTTATCATCTTGCTGTGACTAACCCAAACTTGAAGGACGTAGAGGTAATAATTACTTTGGTTTCTATTGTGTTTTCTTGCACAAGTCCCCCTGTTTTTTAAACTTGAGATGGTATCTGTTCAGGTGGAACTGGATATTGATGTGACAGCTGTCGTGTATGACACTAAAAAAGCATTCTACAAGTGTAACTTCAGTAACAGCGAGTGCACATTCAATACAATACCTTTTGTTTTAACTTCACCAGCACCGAGACAGGTACGTATTCTATATGAACTACACTAACAAAATATTTCTATATTATTCTCATACTCAGATGAATGAATCCTCATCTCTCACTGTCTCTGAGGTCAGGGACTATTAGCTGAAGANAATCTTATCCAATAGAGCATCAAAACGGTTTTGTAAAGCAACCTGATGAGCTGGTCTTTCCGTACAGATGCTCTCTCGTTTACCTCTGTTTTGTCGTTCTGATGTTGTTACCGTTGTTGCAGGAACACGTGAGCTGGTAATGGGCTTCACTACTTGATGGGCCAGAGTCTTGTTTGAATTTGGGCCGTTGTGATTAATACTCCCGCGCAAACTCGAGGTGGGAGAATTCACAACTCCGAGTTTGAACCTGAGATCAAAGAAACTCTGTTGTGGCAATGACTTAGTAAAGACGTCAGCTACCTGCTGTCTTGCCGGAATGTGCTTGACTATCAGAGTACCATCAGCTACCTTCTCTCTGGCGTAGTGATAATGAGTGGCAAAGTGTTTAGATTTCTTGTGTAGAACCGGATTTGCTGTGAGATGTACAGCAGACAGGTTATCACAATAGACCTCTGCTGGTTCTGTCTGATGAACTCCAATATTCTTTAGCAGCAAGCGTATCCACATGATCTCAGCTGTAGTGTCAGAAAGGCATCTATACTCAGCTTCAGTCGATGATCTAGACACAGAGTCTTGCCTCTTAGCTGACCAAGAGATCAAATTTGATCCTAGAAAAGTACAGAATCCACCAGTTGATCTCCTTGTCTCTTGGCAACCGGCCCAATCACTATCACAATAAGCTCTCAGTTTTGAATCCGAATCAGCCTCAAGTTGAACTCCCATCTGAATGGTTCCTTTGACATATCTGAGAATCCGTTTTAGTAGATGAAAGTCAGACACAGAAGGCTTATGCATTCTTTGACACACTATGTTGACTGCAAACTGTATATCCGGTCGGGTTAACGTAAGGTATTGCAGTTTGCCTGCTAAACTCCTGAAATACGTTGGGTCAGAGAATGTTTCTTCCTGATGAGGAACCCGATCAAGCTGCAGAGGAAGAGGTGTAGGCATTGGCGCACAGTCTAACATTCCAGCCGCTTGCAACAAATCTGCAGCATATTTTTCTTGGTTAAGAAACAGACCGGTGTTGGTGAATTGAGCTTGAATGCCAAGGAAGTAGCTTAGTTGACCCATATCCTTCATCCTGAACTGTTTCTTTAAGGTAAGAAGAAGTTGTTGAATCAAGTCTCTGTTGTTTCCAGTGAGCACCATATCGTCTACATATAGCAGAAGAAACAACACATCCTTGCCTTTCTGATACACAAACAAAGATGCATCTCCAGTATTGCAGAGAAAGCCAAACTCCAGAAGATATGAACTGAATTTGTCAAACCAGGCTCTAGGGGCTTGCTTGAGTCCATAAATGGCTTTGTGAAGAAGACAAACATGATCAGGATGATGCTTATCTTCGAATCCAGGAGGTTGTTTCATATAGATTGTCTCTGTCAAATCTCCATGTAGAAAAGCGTTCTTTACATCTAGCTGTTTCAGCTCCCATCTGTGTATCACAGCTAGATGCAAAATGACTCGAACTGTAGCTGTTCTGACAACAGGACTGTATGTTTCAAGGAAATCAACCCCCTCTTCCTGTTCATTTCCCTTCGCAACAAGTCTTGATCTCAGCTTTTGCAAAGAACCATCTGCATGAAGTTTAACCTTGTGTATCCATCTGCAACCAATTGGTGTGACACCTTCAGGTTTAGAGACTAAGCTCCAAGTTCTTGTTTCACTGCACGTATCAATTTCTTCTTGCATAGCTTCAGTCCATCCAGAATGAGATAAGGCTTCAGCAATACTCTTTGGTTGTTGAGGTAGACCTTTTACAGCCATCAAGGCATAGCGAGGATTGGGCTTTATAATTCCAGCTTTACGCCTTGTTGTCATCTGATGAGAGTTTTCTGGAGCTTGAAAGTGACCACCAGTATCATTCTGAGGTATATCAGGCTCAGAATGAGCTGGCGATGGGTGATCTGTATCTTGAAAATTCTGATCAGCAGTATTAACTTCAGTAACCATGGGTGGTGCTGGAATGTTGTGGAGTTTGACTGTCACAGTTTTCCCAATGGTTTCTGGTACATAAGACTCATTATCATTCTCATCACGCTGCAACTCAACAGGAAACTGAAGTCGCCAAGCTTTACTCAAAGGTGTTGTTGCTTGAGGAAGAAGGTGATGGTAAGTATCTCTGTAAGGCAGTCTATTCTCATCAAACAAAACGTGCCTATCAATGTATACCCGTCCAGTAGGTGGGTGATAACATCGATAACCCTTGTACCTTTCATTGTATCCAAGAAAGACACAAAGAAGTGACTTCGGATCAAATTTGTTGTGAGCATAAGGTCGGAGATAAGGAAAGCAGGCACAGCCAAAAACACGTAGAGAAGTGTAGACTGGAGGCATACCATTCAGTATCTCATAAGGGCTCATCATCTTCTCATTAACAGAACTTGGTAGCAGATTACTAAGGAATGACGCAGTGTAAAGAGCTTCAACCCATAGCATCTGCGGAAGAGAACTCTGATAAAGCATTGACAAGCCAGGCTCTGTAATGTACCTGTGTCTTCGTTCAGCTATTCCGTTTTGCTCAGGAGTGTGAGGGCATGACACCAAGTGTTTGATGCCACAAGCAGAGAAGTGATCAGTAAGTTGTCGGTTTATGAACTCCCCACCACCATCAGATTGAAAGAAAGAGATCTTCTGTTTATACTGATTTTCGACTTGGAGTTGAAAGGTTTTGAAGACAAAGAACACATCAGACTTTGATTTAAGGGGATAAAACCAACAATATCTTGAGCAATTATCAATGAATACAACGTAGTAGCGAAAACCCTGAGCTGAAACAACAGGAGCAGGGCCCCATACATCACAATGTATTCTCTCAAGAACTCTGTTTGAACGAAATTCTGATCTAGAAAACGGAAGTCTACAAGTCTTGCCTAACTGACATGGCTCACACACAGACTTGGACCCTTTATTGACTGAAATAGCTTGGATAGAAGATAGATACTTGAGCACTTGATCATTAGGATGCCCCAGCCTTCTATGCCATATTTCTTCACTGGTACACTGCTGTCTTGAAGAATAGAACGAGAAAAACTGAGATGCATCCAACCGATAGAGCCCTTTAGTTTTAGTTCCTTGACTGAGAATCCGCTTGGTGTGTTTGTCCTTAACATACACAGCATTGTTATCAAATGTAAACTCACAAGGGTAGTCATCCGTAAGTTTAGAAACTGACAGCAATGATTTGGTGATAGCAGGACACACAAGTACATCAAGTAAAGGAATATTACCTGATGCAGAGGGAATGGACGCGGATCCAACATGGGTAATGGGCAGATAGTCACCGTTTCCAACCATGACTTGATCTCCACCTTCATACTGACGAGACTGATCAAGGTGTTGCACTGAACTAGTCACATGATGAGACGATCCACTGTCAGGATACCACTCACCACCTGAGTTTCTGTTATCTCCTCCAGTAGTCAGAACATTAGCCTGCGGTGGTGAGCCATCAATGGCAAAGTTTTCATCAAATCGTCGGTAACACTTGAAAGCAGGATGTCCATACTTTCCACAAATCTAACAAGTTGGTCTCTGATTATCATTAGCAGACCGGTTCCTGTTAGCACCTTGTCCAAACTGTTGAGGAAATCCTCTGCCTTGGGTTGAGTAAGAGCCACGACCTCTGTTGCCTCCTCTGTAATAACCTCTTCCACGACCAGAGTAACCACCACGGTTTGTATAAAACGCTTGATGAGGATTAGCTTCAGCTTGAGGTTCGTAGGTCTTGAGTTTATCTTCAAAGCCAGTGAGCTTATGAACAATATCTTCAAAGCATGGACCTGGTACCATATCCATGGAGTGTTCAATCACCGTACACACAGCTTCATATTCCTTGCCTAAACCATTCAACACCCCATAGATCTTCTCTTGTTCGGTAATAGGAGAGCCTATAGAATCTAGTTGATCACACAGGGACTTGATCTCAGCTATGTATGCAGTCATAGTCTTAGTTCCTTTAACAGTTGTCTGAACCCTACGTTGGAGATCTAGCTTCCTAGTGGCTGAGATATGATTATATTTCTTAGCTAAAGCCAACCATACCTCATGAGATGTGTGAAGACCGTATACAGACTTGAGCGCATCTTCAGACAACGTACCATAGAGCCAAGCTAGGATAAGTTGATCTTTCTGGATCCAACGATTGAACTCAGGGTTGACTTCATCGACCATGAGATCTCCCTGTCTGACCTGAACGGTAGGAGGAGGTCTTGGTAGAGCGCCATTCACATACCCAAGAATCATCTGACTGGAGAGGAACTGCTCGAACTGCAGCTTCCACAAGAGATAGTTTCCTTCCTTCAGCTTCAAGGTAACACATTGTGTAATAGTGAGCGTCGAAACAGCAACTTCGTCTGGGTTATTTTCTTCCATGATCTACTCGCTGTGCTCTGATACCATGAAGGTAATACAGAGAATCTGAGAGAAGACTGAAAGTGTGAAGCTTTTATTTTTTTTTCTGCTTAAACGTTACAGAGATGATGACAAGCATATTTATACAAGACTGAGAACTTTCTAGTAACCTGACAGCTAGCCCTGACAGCTCACTCAATCTTATCCAATAGAGCATCAAAACGGTTTTGTAAAGCAACCTGATGAGCTGGTCTTTCCGTACAGATGCTCTCTCGTTTACCTCTGTTTTGTCGTTCTGATGTTGTTACCGTTGTTGCAGGAACACGTGAGCTGGTAATGGGCTTCACTACTTGATGGGCCAGAGTCTTGTTTGAATTTGGGCCGTTGTGATTAATAATACAGGCTTGATTGTCTTCATGCTGCTAGCTATACAAATCTGTAAAAAGTATGCTGGGGAAGATACATATGTAATAGATGATGATTCATCGATTGTAAGTCTACTCGTAAACAACGATGACGATGGTCCCAGCATGAAATATTCATGCACTGAGTCTTTA